CACTAACCACTGGGATAAAAGGGCTTGTTTGTGTAGCGGGTGAGTGCGCCCATAACCCCCCAGGCCAACGTGCCTGTAACCCTTCCCTAGGATCAATCGGGGATCACCAGTGGACCTCTGACAAGGAATGATTGAACTAACAGTGAAATCAGTACAAGTACCTAACCCTAGAATTGTGTACCCCCTATAGGCTAACCCACTGTAGCCTAAACAAACACAAAATATATAATGTTTGACAAAGCGACCTAGTTATCGTCGCTTCGCACAGTGCAGCAGCGTGTCGTCCACTCAATTCGCGAGTTATGCCGTCACAGCCAATCACGTCCTAGTAAAATATTGGTCCCATCCAGCATTGTCGCGAGCATTTCCCGTGCAAGACCGAACATCCCCTTGCCACGAATCTTCACTCTCTCCACTTTCTCCCGTATTGCCAGCGGCGTGCCGTCAGCCAATCATTAGTTTCTGGAAAGCAGCTTCTAAGCGTAAGTTGCATCTTCCATGCAGTCGCGGTATTCATTATTATGAATCAATACTGGGCAGTCTATCAATGATGTATCCTCCTTATTTGGCCGAGCACGGTTGATTGCGTTCTCTAGAAAATGTGGCTTGGGGCCAAACTCGCCTCAAATGAAGGTCACCTTGGGGTAACCTACAAGCGCTCGCCACCAACTAGCCTCGAACTTCCCTCGAAGTTCCAACACAAGACCAAATTTGTTGCGAATTCAGGGTACACCAATCGGATCAAAGACGAAATCCAAAAACGGTTACTAGCTACGGCGAACTTTTCAACTTTTTCGCGAGCGCCCATCCAATATGACCCAGAGAGGTCAAACACGCGTAGACATTTATCACGCTATTCGAAGGAAGTTCATAAACCGCAAAGTGAAACCAGTTATAAAGGATAAATATGATATGATGCCAACCTGTCAGCTAGGACGAAGCAAGAAAGTGACACGTAGGCCATATCAGGAAGTATCCCCGTATCGCGAGGTTGCACGTCATATCAGCGAGCACACAATGAAACAAATTACATTTCGCTCATTTCGCATTTTTCGCGCACTCCTCAGGACACAACGCTGCTTGACTGCACGAACAAGTTTTTAGCAAGCCGCTTTAGCTCTCACTTCACTTCAGCTTCATAGATATGCTTCCGCTCACGTTCGTTAGTTTCCTTTCACGACGCCACCTTCCCCGTAACCTGTGACGCTCCTAGCATTTGTCAGAACTGCTTGTCACAGTTCATTGTTCATTGTTTGCGAAACCCAACATGTCGTGCTACAATGTTCTCTGCTAACATAAACTTTCCACATCCCTGCGCTACTTGCTCTTCCTATGTTCGTTTTCCAGGTCGCGCATCGCTGTTGAGAGAGCTGTTCGAGGGACAGAGGATTCGTGTCATCAACACATGGTACCGTGCTTTGTCTCTCGCTTGATGTACCTCTGTTATTGTGTATTTCTATATCTAACCACTGACCGTTCGGGCTTGTGTGGCTGATTTGTTACGCCCGAGTCGCTTCATAGTCTCACAGATGTTTTACTACTGCGGCTTTTCGGTACGGCGACATCTTATTTCCAAGCAGCTATTCTCTTCACGCGACATACCTACAAAGGTGAGCCAAAGGCTTTGTGTGATTCCTTTTTTCAACCTTTTCCCTGTTTTTTTGCCCTGTTTGCCATTGTGCAGTTGGAAGAAGTATCTTGTGCTTTGCAATTCTACAGTGCTCATTATTTTGGGAAAATCGACAGTTATTAGGTCTGAGATTTGCGTAGATAGGTCTTGCCAGTGATCTGTATGATAGTGTGTCAGAATGTTGTATTTTTTTAGCATGCAGTGGGGTACTCTATAGCGAGTACAGCCCAATCTAGGGTTTGCTATTTGTATCTCAACTGCTGCTAGTCCAAACCCTCTTTCTGCTTCTAAACTTTCTCCTACTACTTCTGACATGCTATCAGAGCAGGTCGACCCCCTTGGGTCGATCCTGTGGGTGGGCCCACCACCTAATGCTTCCGCTGCTGTTCTACTTGTCGCGCGCCTCGGTCGCGCGACGCCTCCTTCCTGCCGTACGCTCGGGGCGTGCGGCGGTTTTCTGCCTACCGTGCGCCCCGAGGCGCGCGGCGGTTTCCCACCGTCGAAGTGCCCCCCGTCGCCCGTCGAAGCGCTCCCCCCCGTCGCCCGTCGAAGCGCCCCCGTCGCCCGTCGGAGCGCCCCTCGTCGCCCGTCGAAACGTCCCCGTCGCCCGTCGAAGCGCCCCTGGGACCCGCGCAGGGCCCGTACGGGCTGCGCCAGGCCCGCGCGCGGCCCGTACGGGCTGCGCCAGGCCCGCGCGCGGCCCGTACGGGCTGCGCCAGGCCCGCGCGCGGCCCGTACGGGCTGCGCCAGGCCCGCGCGCGGCCCGTACGGGCTGCGCCAGGCCCGCGCGCGGCCCGTACGGGCTGCGCCAGGCCCGCGCGCGGCCCGGGCAGCCCGCGCGCGCCTCGTCCCGCCTGCGGCAGACCCGTGCGCGCGCCTCGTCCGTCCCCCAAGCTTCTGTCGGCGCCCCACCCCCGCTACTGCCCGCGTTCCTGTGTTAGGGTTTGGGGGTGGCGGGTGTGGGGGTGCCGGTTGTGTGCCCCGTCCCCTCCTTCTCCTCCTCCTCCGTCTCCCGCTGCTGCAGCTGCCGCTCAGGGGGGTGGGTGTGTGGGGAGCCGACGGAGTGGTACTAGGGGGGTGAAAGGGGAGTGGAGCTAGGGGCGAAGCAGGGGGTGTGTGTCGAGGGGTGTGGGACTGTTGGGGGAGGTTGAGCGGAGGCCGCCGTCGTGTCGTCTGCAGCGCCTGTATTCCGGGGTTCTGATAGCCACCGGTAGCTCAGAGAGCCGGTTGCACCTGTCGCCCGTGGGTCCGTTGCTCCTGTCGCTGCTGATCAGACGCAGAGCCTGTTACTCCTGTATTCCGGGGCCCTTGCTCCCGGTAGCCACTAGAGCTGCACCAGAGCCGTCTGTTGCCCGTGTGTCTGCAGCTTCAGTCGTCGCCTCCACTCTTCTCTCCTCTCGCCAGCCCTCCTCCTCCTCACTTGCCCTCTGTGACTGCCTCTAGCTTTGCTCATAAAATGTGAACTACTATTATGACTGCTTGTTGTGCTGATTACACCCCACTTTGGCTATGGGGGTGTGTCAGAATGTTGTATTTGTCTAGCCTGCAGTGGGGTACTCTATAGCGAGTACAGCCCAATCTAGGGTTTGCTATTTGTATCTCAACTGCTGCTAGTCCAAACCCTCTTTCTGCTTCTAAACTTTCTCCTACTACTTCTGACATAGTGGTGAATGTAACTCTTCTTTTAGTTAATAAGAAAACGGAAAAAAAAAAACTTCACACTGTTTGCACTTACGTGGTATTGGAATAATGAGTATTTGATATGTACAATGTCACACAAATTTCATTGCTGGACCAATCAGAACGCACCGCTACACGCGCTGCGCTGAATTCTTTAGCCAATGAAAGTGCATCATTCCACGTGTACCGTAGCGCTAAGCGCCAATCAGAAGGCGCGACGATTTGGTGTTAGGTTTCTTGCGGGTGAGTTACGAGTGAGTTGCGGAAGGGTTGCGGGTGAGTTGCGTGTTACCCCTGTGGGCGAACCTCAGGCGACCTTCTTGGTTACCCCTAAGGTTACCTCTTACCAGTAAGATAACCTTGTCTTATACCCCGAGGTTACCTCCCCCGAACATACCTCGGGGTAACCTCAAGGTAAGTTTGAGGGGACATTCTGGGGGGTCGAATTTTCTAGAGTTAATCGGTCTAGTCACTCGGTAAGGGTCGGTGTGGTCGGGCGAGCAGCGATTATCATCAATAGTAGGCCCATACTCTATTGGTTGCTTTCAATTCCCTGCCTCCCAGTCTCCTTCTCCTGCTCTACTCCTTGGCGCTTTAGCTCCTATGGGCATTTATTCTTGTAATGGCCAAGCCTGTTGCACACGAAACTGTGCCCCTTAAACTGTGCGATAGCAACATTCGTTACAACGGCATGAACCGTGGCGTGCTTGGTTGTTCCCCGAGTACGTTGTTCATAGGAGTAGAACCCTCGCCTCAGTCATCATAGGATATCGGTTTTCTCGGCGAGCGCCAGGATTTCATTGAAGTTCGAGATCTCGCGGAGAAGGTTAATTTTGCGAGATTTCCGGCTTCAAGCCGCTGAAGTAACGATCAACCCGCTCCGCTTCGTACATGTAGCCGCCCTGTTCGAACAGCGCGAGAACATTTGGTGTAGTCTTGAATCGACCCAGGTTGTCGTCAAGAAGTAGTGTTGGGTGTGTTGGCGGAAGCAGTGCTGGGTGAGTGGCCCGATGTGGTAACGAGCTCATGTCGCGGGTGCAGTGGCGGCAACATTCGTGTACGCGGTATGCAGTGTGACGCGAAGTAAGGAGAAGTTGTTTTCTTAGAACGAGAAGCAGTGAACAAGGGATTACTGTATTTGTAAGGGAATACTTTTATCGGAGAGTGAATTGCAAACACATCGAACGTGGACATTCAGTCTTTGTCGCTGTCAACCGTGGTGACACCAGACGTGCAGTTCGCAGAACGATTGCGACTGCAGGACTTCCTTCGTGGTGATTTCGTCAGAATATTTGTGCTTCGTGGGGCATCCAAGGATGCGTGGGTGTGTCGACGTGGTATCCCTATGCACGACTCACGAAAAATCTACGCACCGCCTTTCATACGATTGCCCGAAATGCTGCTGCTCTCGTGTTTGAACATTTCACTGAAATGCTGCTTGAGCCTTCAGCCGCCCGCCGTGCTTGTTTGGGGTGACCCAATCAAGCCGCCATTTTTCGCACCAGATGGTTTTGGAGCCGAAGGGCATCACTCCTGCCCTACAATTTCCTTCGTTCTACTTGATGACTGCCTTGCGGTAACTTTCAAATCTCTCAGTTGTCAGTTGCATGTGAACACGATAGAAAAGCCCACCGTGTAAGAGTGCTAGTGTAAAGGTTAGGAAGCTAGTGTAGTTGTTGTATGCTGAAGGATGGCTCGCGTCCTTGAGATTACTTTATCTCGCGTGCGTCTGCTGGGCTTTGTCGCCGTCCTTATCCTCCTCGTGCGTTCAGCGCAAGCTCGTCCCCTTGCTGTGCCGCATGGCCGTTTGGCGCTGGAGCAGACCGACAGCCAAGCAGCATTTCCCGCCATAGAGCAAGTTCTCGCACTCCATGCCGCGGATGAAGGTTTCATCTCAGCGGACTCCGTCGCACATATCGACGCGGGCGACGTCGCAAACCTCGCTGATGCAGTCGTCAAACGCCTCGGCGACCCAGAGATGTCGAAGGTTACGCGTTGGGTCATGGATCTGCTTCGCGAAACATCGCAGGAAATTGCCGCTGGCGCCTACGAGAAGGCGGCGAAGAAGCTTTTTTCGCCGCGCACGATCGTAATGCCGCCAGAAGGGCCGTCGCTCTTCCTACTCTCCTCCTTTCAAAAAGCCGCCTTCCTGCAAAGCCTCTCCCTGACCCTCCCGAACGTCGAGTTTCAGCCTGACGGCATCTCGATATTCGACCTCAAATACAAAACTTACAAGAAGTACGGAATGACTATAACGGGGACGTATGTCACTTCCCCGTCCCCTCTCGTTCCGACTGCCACACCCGACAACGGCAAGTTCATCTTCTACTGGGACCTCCTCAAGGAGAAGCAGGTCGGCTCTGCTGACGTGGCTCGGTTTCCCTTGGAGGGCGACGAGGGAGCGAACGCGCTACGCTCCTTTGTCGAAGGCGCGTCGGTGAAGGTCGCATCCAACAACGGCAAGTACATCTGGGGCGTCAGCTGGATGATTTGGAACTCGGACCTGCCCAAGGACGCACCGGACGAACCTTCCAAGAGTCTCGCCACCAGTTTCCCCGAAGCCGCTGGGGCCGCCACGGAGCCGGCGTGGTTCGACGAGGTTCGTGACCAGGGCGCCGCAGAAGGCGCCGCAAGTCAGGTACCGGCGGCAGTGGGCGATCCGCGGCCGCAGGACATCATCGTGCAGATCCAGGCCGCCTGGGAGGGCTTCTCCGCCGCCATCGCGACGGGCGACGCCGTGTCGGCGACGGCAATCTTCGCGCCCGTGGTGATCCTGCTGCCGCCCAACCAGCCGCGCACCATGCTCGTCACGCCCGACCAGAAGCAACGCTTCGCCCAGGTGAGCTGGCACTCGTTGGCCTTATGCTTCGGTGCAGCGGTGTGAGATCCAATGCAGAGGAGCAACAGAGCATGAAAGTAAGGAGATATAAGGATGCTCGCGGTTTTACTGGGGCCAGAAGCACCGGTTCCCGCAAATGACCGGTTCTGTTGGCGGCAATTCTAACTGTGTGGAGATCCAGGGCGAGGTGGGAGTGTGACTAAAGTACCCTCGCTGCATGACTGCTCTTCTGTTCATGCCCACCATGCAGTTCCGACCCTTGCATTCCCCTCTTATCGTTTTCGACCCAGTATTTAATCGACGTCCTGACAGCACTAGGTGTGACAGTAACTGAAATGGCTAAGGTGTAATCTCCCTTCCTTCCCTTTTCTTTGCAGGATTTGATTGACGCGCAAGTGACTTTGAGTGTGACTGTAGAGGATGTGGTTCTAGTGGAGCTCAAGGCCTCCACCGACCCCATCATGGCGGGGGGCTCCAGCAGCCTCTCGGCGCTCGTGCGCAGCAGCTACTCCAAGACCACCCAGTCAGGTACTACCCACTCAGGTACCACCCAGTCAGGTACCACCCAGTCAGGTACCACCCAGTCAGGTACCACGCCTCTCCCCTTCTGACCTCTCTCCCTCTCACACCCACTCACGCACAAAAACACACAAATCACACATTTCTACCCGCCTTTTAACTCTCTACCTTCGTTGATGAACTCTTGACACCTTGTCTTTGATTGTTTGGTGGCTCCTTGTGGAACCTTTAGCTTCATTTTCCTAACCCCTTTCCCCCCCTCAACACCACTATTGTGTTCGTGTTTCATGTCGCGCAGGTCATGTGGCGGAGATGGGGAAGCTCGTGGATCTGTGGCAGAGGAACCCGATGTTCCCTGGCCAGTGGTACTTTGTCTATTCTATCTGGAACTCAGACGGGCTTGTTGCACCGACACTTAGCTAAGAGCACCCAAAATCCTACTGACGATGTTCCATAACTGGATACGTGTCCTCACCCTCTGGATACTAGATAGGTCTTGATTCTGAAGTTGGTATACTTGTAATGTAAGATACCGTATTACCCCGGATATAAGCGCAGGTGCGCTTATAATAAAACAGTGTTTTTTGGGGGGGTGCGCTTGTAATTGAGTCAAGTTTATAAGCGCATGTGCCTGTAATAGGGAAAAAATGAAAATTACTTTTAAACATACCAAAGTGAAGCTCTAAGGCGAATTCAACCGACCATGCACCAAGTGGGATCGTGCATGGTTTTCAGGCAAAACCAGCTGCAGTTCAGTTTCCCACCGCACAATTTTGTCTAGAACCATCGAACAAGACAGCAGTGACGGGGATGTTGCCGTGCGGCCCAAACACAGCCGCATGCGCTGCGTGGCATGTGCATTCGGGCAGAACCATCTCGAAGGGTGGGGAAGATTTCCCGCCAGCGCAGCGTATATGTTGCCACGCAGGTTCCTCCACGGGGGTAAGCGGGGGTTTCCTGCCTGTCATCGACGAGGACCCCGAGCCTCCAACCAGCAGGGGTCCCCGTCGTTGCCCATTTCTGCATGCTCGTCTGTTGAACTATATATGTTCTTTATAATTGTCTGCAGTGTAGAGTGTAGCATATCCCAATTTGGTGTAGGTGGTGCACCATGCTTCTCCTTGCTATATCTTGTACTCATCTTTCTTAGTGATCTTCCTTCTTCTTGGTTCATCTCTCTCGACTATCCTTGGCCTAGGCTACTAAGCCTAGGCCCTACTCCTATTATTTCAACATGGTAATCAGAGCAGGCACCTTCCTACAGTCGGAAAATATAAGTTAATATTTTCTATATGTAACTGCCTGTAGGATTGGTGTAGTTATAACGTTTTCCTATTTGGTGGTGCACCTTTCTTGTTTGTTCTTACCTATTTGTACCCTCGCCTGGCCTCTTGATATAAGGGTGAATCACCCTTACCGTCATACCCCGGATATAAGCGCCACCCGCGGATAAGCGCCTGGCGCTTTTAATCGGCGCCCGGCGCTTATATCCGGTGCTCGATTATAAGCGCACCCCCCTGAAAAAACTTTTTTTTATTATAAGCGCACGTAAACTTTAAATTTTGAATTGTGTTCGAAACACTGTAACGATTTCTACTTCAGCAGGGGGATGTGTTGCAGATTCGCTTCCCTTCACATTCGGACCCTGCACTGGATGCGGGACCAGTCAGCAGGAGCAGTCAGGAGCTGTCAGAAGCTGTCAGAAGCTGTCAGGAGCTGTCAGAGTAGGTGTATCTCCAGCGCGCGCGAGAAATTTCACAGAACTTCGACTCGATTGAAAAAGGCTAGCACGAGATCTACAGCTTGGTGTTAAAACATATATAAAATATATATGTCGTTTTATAAACGCCGGCGCTTATAAATTTACCCGATTATAAGCCCACCCCCCCTAAAAAAACCTGTTTTATTATTGCCCCCCATGGGGGTATATCCGGGGTATGACGGTATGACCCTTACTATAAGGGTGTGTTTTGATTCGGACCCTTACTTTACAAAGTTGATTTTTTTTCTGACACTTACAGGAAAAAGGTGAATATTTTTAGGACCCTGATATTTCAGAGTGAAGTGGTGTAGTCGCACTGATCGGGAAGATACATCCTCCTCAAAAAGTATAGAATTAGCTCAAAGAACCGAGTCCCATGGATAACTTTGCCCACCAAATGCCTCCCATAAGTATCGATCCCGCGTCCCTTTGACAACAACCCCCAGTGTGCTAAGTTCTTACGCCAATGGTCTACTAGTTAAATATCATAAAAGTTTTAGTTTGGTTTAAACCCTTACAAAAATGAGTGGTTCTTGCCTGATACCCTTACAGAAAGAGTGAAATCAGCTGGTTACCCTTATGACAAAGACTGGTTCAAATCCTATCAAGAGGCCTGACCCTCGCTTAATATTGAATCATCCTCTTTGGCCTCTCTCTCGTTCCTGCTACCCTCGTTTCTCTCGCCATGATCCTTGCTCCTAAGCCTAAACCTAGTTCCTAGGTTCTTAGTATTCTCAACATGGTATCGAGAGCCTGGTTCTGTCGAGAGAGTTAGCACGATGAGGAGCCATAGCTAGGGTTGACCTAGCTAGGCAAGAGAGAATGAAGCAAAGGAGAGGGTTTGCACTAGCAACAATGGTGGTACAAATAGCTAACCCTAGAAGGGTTGTACTCGCTATAGAGCACCCCACTGCAGGCTAGAGCATAATATTCTGACACACCCCCATAGCCAAAGTGGGGTGTAATCAGCAGAGCAAGCAAAGCAGTACAAGCTCAGGGTGGATCACGATGTCACCACACATTCTGAGCACAAGTTCAAGAAGCAATAGTTTCAAGTTCACAATTATGAGCAAAGCTAGAGGCAGTCACAGAGGGCAAGTGAGGAGGAGGAGGGCTGGCGAGAGGAGAGTAGATTAGGAGGCGACGACTAAAGCTGCAGACACACGGGCAACAGACGGCTCTGGTGCAACACAGTGGCTACTGTCAAACATTATATATGTTGTGTTTGTGTAGGCTGTAGTGGGTTAGCCTATAGGGGGGTCACAACATTAGGGTTTCATATTTGTACTCACAATCCTTTCTAGTTCACCATTCCTCGTTCAGTTCTTCTGACATGGTTTCAGAGCAGGTCCTTCGCTAGGACCTAAGTTTTTTTTTCGGGCCCACCTCTACTGACTGTCTTCTAGCGCCTCAGTGCGCCCTACTGTCGGAGCGTCGCGTTAGCGCCTCCCCCTCAGCGCCCTCGTGCGCCCTCGTGTACGGCCCCTTAAGGCCCCGTCGACCCCGCGCGCCGCCCCTTAGTGACCCGCGCGTCGCTCCTTAGAGGCCCCGTCGACCCGCGCGCGCCCCGCTTACGGCCCCGTTTGGCCCCGTCGACCCGCGCGCGCCCCGCTTACGGCCCCGTTTGGCCCCGTCGACCCCTTCGCGCCCCGCTTAGTGGCCCCGTTTGGCCCCGTCGACCCGCGCGCGCCCCGCTTACGGCCCCGTTTGGCCCCGTCGACCCCGCGCGCGCCCCGCTTAGAGGCCCCGCTGGCCCCGTCGACCCCGCGCGCGCCCCGCTTAGAGGCCCCGTTTGGCCCCGTCGACCCCTTCGCGCCCCGCTTAGTGGCCCCGTTTGGCCCCGTCGACCCGCGCGCGCCCCGCTTACGGCCCCGTTTGGCCCCGTCGACCCCGCGCGCGCCCCGCTTAGAGGCCCCGCTGGCCCCGTCGACCCCGCGCGCGCCCCGCTTAGAGGCCCCGTCGACCCTATCCGCCGCCCCAAAGCGGCTCCGTCGACCCTACCCGCCACCAGACTCGCCACCTGTGTCGCCACCTGCTTGCCGCGTCGCCCTGCCCGCGGCGTCGCCACCTGCCCGTGGAGCCGCCCCTGGAGCCGCCCGCCACTGCAGTAGCAGCCCCTGGAGCCGCCCGCCACTACGGCAGCTACCCCTGGAGCCGCCCGCCACTGCAGCAGCAGCCCCTGGAGCCGCCCGCCACTGCAGCAGCAGCCCCTGGAGCCGCCCGCCACTGCAGCAGCAGCCCCTGGAGCCGCCCGCCACTGCAGCAGCCGCCCCTGGAGCAGCCGCCACTGCAGCAGCAGCCCCTGGAGCCGCCCGCCACTGCAGCAGCAGCCCCTGGAGCCGCCCGCCACTGCAGCAGCAGCCCCTGGAGCCGCCCGCCACTGCAGCAGCAGCCCCTGGAGCCGCCCGCCACTGCAGCAGCAGCCCCTGGAGCCGCCCGCCACTGCAGCAGCCGCCCCTGGAGCAGCCGCCACTGCAGCAGCAGCCCCTGGAGCCGCCCGCCACTGCAGCAGCAGCCCCTGGAGCCGCCCGCCACTGCAGCAGCCGCCCCTCGAGCTGCCCCCGCCCTGCAGTTGTAGCGGCCCCGCGGTCGCCACCGTCTTGCGCCTGCCACGCCGACCACTGGTGAGCATTGCCCTGCCCGCACTGCTACTGCTGCTACTGCCTTTTCTACTCCCACTGGTACTGCTCCTGCTGTTCCTGCTGTTACTGCCGCTACTGCTGCTACTGCTGCTCCTGGCGAGGCCAGATGCAGCTCCAGGGCCGTGCGCGTGAGTCCCTCACGCCCCAGCAGCTTCGTGAGTGGTACACTAGTTGGGGCTGTCGGGGTGACCGTAGTGGTAGTCGCTCTGGAGTGGGTCGGTCGGGAGCTTCTGGTAGTGGACAGGTGCAGCTGCAGTGTCCTCTTTCACCCCAGCAGCTTCGTGAGTGGTACGCCAGTTGGGGCTGTCGGGGTGGCCGTAGTGGTAGTCGCTCTGGAGTGGGTCGGTCGGGAGCTTCTGGTGATGGACAGGTGCAGCTGCCGTGTCCTGTGAGTGAGGCTGCCGCTCTAGGTGCCAGTGCAGCTGCTACCCCAGGTGCCGGTGAGGCTGCTGCTCTAGGTGCTAGTGAGTCTGCGCCCCCTGGTACTGAGTCGACTGCAGCACTGCACACCTTCACCCTGGACTCAGGTGCTTCACGCTGTTTCTTTCGTGACCGCACTGCCCTTGAGCCGCTTGCTCGGCCAGTTGCTGTCTCCCTCGCTGACCCCTCTGGGGGTCCGGTCATTGCGACCTCCTCCACTGTCCTTCCTTGTCCTGCGGTCCCGTCGGGCACACTGTCCGGTCTCCACCTCCCCTCGTTCTCTACGAACTTGGTGGCTGGGTGTGCGCTCCAGGACGCGGGTGTTCACCAGTTCACCCCGGCCTACGAGCGCGTGACGCACTGCACGTGTGCCCGTACGGGCCGCCACTTGGCTACCTTCACTCGGCAGCCGGGGTCGGATCTGTACACACTGACCACTGAGTCCCCTCAGGTAGCGGTCGCTGCGTCTGCGTCTGCGTCTGCGTCAGGTCAGCTGTCGGCCCCCTGCTCGTGTCGCTCTCTGGCGCACGAGACTGTCCTCTGGCACCACCGCCTTGGCCACCCGTCTGTGCAGCGCCTTCGGGCCATGCACTCCAGGT